TTCAATAGTCATATCTATAACATACCAAAAGTTGTGCGGTGAAAGTTGTGTCAATACAAAACCGGGTCAAAAGTTCGACTACGAAAACACAAAACAGTGAACAACTCGGTCAAAACTCAATATCTCTGAAAACAGAAATAGGATTCGGAGTCCTTACCACGATATCTACACTTTTCCCAACAACAGCGTCGGACGAAAAGCGCTCCGCGGCCTCCGAAACCAAGCTTTTCCTCTTTTCCCTTTCTCTTTCTCTCTCCTCAAATCAGATATTTTGTTTTAAAATGATTTTCTCTCTCCTCAAAACGAGCTGATTTCCTTAAATCATAAAGCTGATCGGCCCGGCCGATCGCAAAATCGTCCCGGGACGATCAGACCAAAATCGATCGTCCCGATCGTCCTGGACGGTTCCCAGAACTATTCTCAGGACGATATTTTGAACAGTACAGATCGGCCTGGACGATCTCAATATCGTCCCGGACGATCCTGGGAGGAAAATCAAAGTCAGAGAGGAACAGTAAGGGAACGAGGTCTCACAGGTCAGGTGACTATGGGCTATTAAGATAATCCTCCTTTTGAAGGTGGATATGACACAATTTGAAGATGGAATATGAGACAAAATAAGAAGTCATGGTATTGACTTAGAGTAATCAATAAGGTCATTCTTCTAGTAGTGAAGGAAACATGACATGAAGACAACTAACTAAGATGTGCAGGAAGGCCTTGGTCGGAAGCTATTGAGGATGGCAGAATCAATCTTCCTCCTAAAAGCAACAAATGAGATAGCACATGAAAGTCATAAAATGTCATTGAGGATGGTTGGGTTGATCCTTTCCTATTGGTAAATGTGGTATAAACTTAATGAGATGTATATGATGATGCATGAATGGTAAGGGGATAACAGAGTAGTTAGAATGGTCTTATATCTAGAGATAGTGATGTTGTGACTTGAACATGATGGGCTAAGTAATGTAAGGTTATCCCTCTCCTACAAGAAGAGGATTATAAGACTAAAAGATGACATATAAGGAATTCTCTAATCTAGAAGATAGAGTATAATATCCAAGATTTTGAAAGTTGGATCAGACATTGAACAGGAAGAAGAGGCTTAAGATTTAAAGGTTGAACCAGGTTTGAATCGACATACATAATAAATGTTAAATTGCTAAAATATGACTTAAATGATTTAAAAATGATGTAATATGTTATAAATAATAAATAAAACTATATTATAAAATATAAATTATACATGAAAAAAATTAGATATAATTTTAAATTTTAAAATACATCAGATAAAAAATATTTTCAAAACTACTATCCAATAATTTAATGTCATTGAAAACCTCAACTCTACAACAAAAACAACATCAAGTCTTTACCACACTACGTGGGGTTAGCTATATGAATCATTTTTCTTCATTGTGTCATGTTAAGAGTCAAATTCTCATTTAGATCTAATAAAGAAATGTCATTTCTAATCTTTTCTAACCAAATCTTTTTAGATCTACCTCTACCTTTCTTAATATAGGTCAAATCTAATACATCTAATCTCCTAACCGGGTCATCGGAAGGCTGTCATTTTATGTGAACAAACCATCTAAGACGACTCTCTCTAATCTTATCTGTCATTGGAGATACTCCAGCATTTTCACATTTATGCTTGCTTCATATCCTATCTCTAAGAGTAGAGCCACTCATCCACTTGAGCATCCTTATCTTTGAAACACCTAACTTAAAATTACACTTCTTTTTTAATGGCCAACATTCTGTTCCATAAAGCATTACAGGTATATTTGCTACATCGAGCCAAGGCCCTCCTCATAAGGAAGGGCCTCATTTGTAATCAATTGCAAACACTAGTTGATTCATTCAAATTTGGTGGACCCCATGAATTTTCTCCATTTTCAGGGGTTTCCACATAAAAATTATGGTGTTATTTATAAACGTTATATATAACATTACTCTCTTATATGTCTGTGTGTTGAATATTGTACAAAATTAGGACTCTAAACTTTATATCTCTCTTCCGCCGTGAATATTCCAGGATGAAACACCTATTATGAAGAACCAATGTTTGTTTATGAATTTTGGTCATCAATATTCCAATTATTCTCAAATTTAGCTCCAAATTTGATGTGGGGAGATCGTTGTTGGATCGTTGGAAGAAGCGACACCGGGTGGAAATATCCAAACTGGTTTAGCCAACCAAATCCACCTCCTTATGGTGGCCAACCGGACATCTTCCTATGAGCCTGAAGTTCCTCCTACCCCGGTAGTATGACGTTGGAGTTGAGCTTAAATCATGTTTAACTTCATAAAAGTTTAATTCACTTTAGTTGTTTGTATGGCTGCATAGGATTAGTGCTTTCTTATGTTGCGTGTAGCCTAATAGGTTGCTACATTTGTCTATAAAAAGATAGCAAAGCTTGTAATAAAGAAAAAGGTTGAAATGAATAATATTTGAGTCTTGGATTCCTTTTGGAAATCCTGACGGACG